TATATATATATATATATATATATATATATATATATATAAAATAGACATTTTATGCTGTGTTACATTTGTTACATTATTGGTGGGTTTCAAAGTTAATAAAATAAAAAACCAAAAATGAAAATAATAGTATTAATATATAAGATGAAAAGTAAAAAACAATGGAATTATGGAATGTAATTTATAAAAAATAAATAAAATAAATAAATATCACATTCTGGCGGGTAATTCTTTTATATTTATACTTTTCTCTCATGCACTGAGGTAGTTTGTTTGGTTCCTGGCTTCTTTCTTCAATCTGTCATTTTCTTCTGGTTCATATCTGCCTGTGGCTCTCTGAGCTGCAGGTTTCATTATGCTCCATATGAGCGAGTGTTTTGAGAGCAGGGCTGTGAGTGCTCGCGAAGATAAACTCAAGCACACTGGAGCTTTGTGCTCTGCAACTGTAAACTGATGCCTTTGTTCTCCCAGCGGTACATTGGCCTCTAGGTTACAGATTCTGCTGCGTTTACATCCAGACATCACCTGGTGTGCTCAGATATAACCCTCGTTTGCAAAAGACCAGGGTCTCTTCTGCAAAAACATGTCAGTTAATGAATTATAACAGCAACAGAGCTAGATTTAGCAGCACGTGCCGCAGATATGAAGTGTGTGTGAAATAGGTTTCAGCTGCCAACAGCGTGTGCAGAACAGTCTTTATCCTTGATTTAATATAAAGACTTCCTAGCTGCCGGTGCCAATGACTTGACAGGCCTGCAAGTGGATTAGACCTGGTAGGATGATAATCTGGGTTAGGAACAGGGCGCAGTGTCACGGAAGATTTTCTGCCCTTCCTGTGTTGTTGTCTGATCCGTCAGTACAATACAGACACCTTCATACCGATCGAACACCTGCTTTTTGTATCCAGATCAAGTGAGGTCCTCTATAACTCACTTAGACAGGAGACAGAAGTATTTAGCCGACATTAAAAGTGACCGGTGACAGAAATCATTCTAATATGAATTTATTCAGATTATCAATGTTAAAAACAGTTGCGCTTGCTATTTTTGTGGAAACTGTGAAATTCTTGGAACAAAAATAAAAAGCAGCATTTATTTGAAACCAAAAGCTTTTTATTGCAGCGTAAAAGTCCACTTAATCACTTTCCATCAGGTAAATGTTAAATCTGATATCGTGTCTTTCAGATGGTGCAGCTGCTTTACTGACAGATGAGGTCGAGACCCCCGCAGTCGTGCCCGGTAATAAGAGGACCACCAAGTTTGAGAAGAGAATGACCGTGGAGGAGATGGAAGAGGAGCAGAGGTCAGTATTTTCCTTCTCCCTCAATCCATCCACTGAAGCGATAGCATCTCCGAATAACACACAGCAGTGAAATCTACATTTCACGGTTTTGTATTTCATATATATCTAGAAATGCTTGAATTGAACAGCATTTCAAGCATGTGAAGTGTGTATGTGATTGTATTTGAAGCCTCCCCTCTGAAGTATGCAGAATGATGCTTTTTGGGGAATGTCCAGTAGATTTGTTGTCAGAGGAAAATTCTTGTTATTCCTCCTCATAATTTTGGGCCATTTGTAGCCGTGTAATGCACAGCCCACCTCCACCCACTCCAGCACACTCTGTGAGTGTTCGGATAAGAAGGGTGAGATGATCACAACAGCGCTCGTATCTGTAGCAGACTGTCAGGGGCGCTCGCGGGGGCTCAAGGTTTGACTGGAGGTTCAGGCACACTTTGCTGCGGGTGGGTGTGGTTTGTTTGCTAGATAAAATGTGTAGATTGAGCAGTTGGGGGTCTGAACTAAAAAAAAAAAAAATAGGTTACACTTTATTTGGATAGCCCACTTTAGACATTCGACTGACTATGGGGGCATTTACATGACAGTGTTCAACGAAAAAAACGTTTTTGAAAACTTCTGTTATCATCTTAACTACAAAAACGCAAATTTGTGCAAACTGTGAAGTCATGCGTATTACATATTCAGTCTATAGGAAAGCATATGCGCGCAGACGCGTAGTGTTTCTTTACAAATTCACGTCGTGACTACTGGCCTGGCAAGAATAATACAGCGTTTTTAGTTGTTTTGCACAGGTCCGTGTGAACGGGAAAGGTTTTGATCACGTTGTTGTCTGTACGCAAAACTTTTCAAAAATGCAAAGGGAAAACTTTTCTGTTGTCGTGTAAACATTGTGTTACTTTGTAAGTTTGATTGCATCATATAATAATTGCTGTTAATAGTGTTCATCGTCTGTTTGATTATGTCTTTAATTGATTTTTCCGTACATTTCTGCCATATGTACATTAACTGACGGTCACCTCTGATAAGCTACCACTAAATATTGTAGAAACTTCATTTGCTGTAAAGTTGCTTTGCAACGATTTGTATGGTGAAAATCGCTATACAAATAAACTACATGTCAACCAACTCTCATTAGAGTATTAGTAGACTTGTTAGGGTTAGAGTAGAATAGTTGATATGTACTTTATAGTTGGTAGAGTGTCTGATGAACATCAAAATATAGTGTTAGCAGATATTAAGCAGACACTACTAATACTCTAAAGAGAGTAAGAGCTCAAGAGAAGACTCTGGTGGTGTTGTTTTTTCTGAATTTCATTCCTTTTATCGAAATGACTCCAACATAAATCTAAATAAACCATTTAAATCCATAAACAAAATAATGTCAGCATCGCTTAGTCATTTCTTATACACTAGTCCAGGTTTTGCTTGAGTTCACAAGCATAAAAATAAAAATAGTACGTTTTGTTCTTTTGAAAATCACATGAAACCTGGTTTCATTCTTTACTGTTCACTAAAATTGAAAACTTTGGGGGGGGTATATAAAAAATATTTGTATTAATTTACTTTTATTAATTAATACTTTTATTCAGCATGAATGCATTAAATCAACCAAATGTGGCAGTAAAGACACTTAAATTGATACAAAAGGTTTCTGTTTCAAATAAATTCTTTTGAACTTTCCATTTATCAGCGAATCCTGAAAAAAGTATCATAGTTTTCACAAAAATAATAATCAGCTCAACTGTTTTCAACATTGATAATATTAAAGGGATAGTTCACTGATGTCACATGGACTATTTTAACAATGTATTTTCTACCTTTCTACATAATATTTCACAATATTCCCGTTTAAAAAAAAAAATGAATTTAACACAGGGGTGTCCAAACTCGGTCCTGGAGGGCCGGTGTCCTGCAGAGTTTAGCTCCAACCCTAATCAAACACGCCTGAAGCAGCTAATCAAGCTCTTATAGGCATACTAGAAACTTCCATTCAGGTGTGTTGAGGCAAGTTGGAGCTAAACTCTGCGGGACACCGGCCCTCCAGGACCGAGTTTGGACACCCCTGATTTAACACAACCTTGGTGTTTTTGAGACTCTCAAATACAATAAAACGGACCCCCAAACTTTTGAACGGCAGTGTATATTTCCTGCATATTTGTCATTTCCCTTGTGGAGTGTTAGAGAGTGGGTTTACATGTGCAACAAAAAATTCTAAAAAAAAACACAATTTGAAATTAAAAATGAAAAAACTTTGTAATACATGCCTGACAACAAATTATATTTTGAAGCAAGTTTTGCTCCATTCTTGATGTTAAAAAAGGCATTTACATGAAAACCAAAATAATGGTCAGATACATGGCTGCTGTTTACGAAAGCAGAATTTAAGGCATCATAGGTGGATTCTCAACAAGAGTACACGCTGTCTGCTTTATCTCAATTGTGCATGTAAACTCAGTCAGTGATTTGAGATGATTTCTACAGTTCCCATTTGCAGAAGTCACTGTGTGTAGCTATAGATTAGCAAGTTGACTCAATAGTCAGAACCCTACAGTAATGGTCTGTACATAATGTCCTCTGCTCCTGCCCTTTATCTTTGCAGGATAGAGTTCACAAATGACTTTACAGCTCTTTAAACAACATCAGGCAGTATGCGTATGTGTCAGACCACTGGTAAGGTATCATTTACATCAGTTTGACCCCGACACCCCCCACAGTCTCACCCCTCGGCCTCCCCCATCATCACCATGTGCTGACACACAAATATCTTCCCTTCCACTCACTTTCCTTATTCAGCGACAATTCTTGTCCCGACATGCTGAGTTACAGTAACAGTTCACCCAGAAATAAAATTCCGTCATGTACTCACACTGTTGTTTCAAACCCATCTGAACTGCAATGCATTTATTTATCTGTAAAGTCACAATTTATTTATATATTTTATTTATTTGCAAAATGTATGTATTTATTTTTAAGCCACAATTTATTGATTTATTAAGTCATTATGTATTTATTTTTGTAATGTAACTTATTTGTAAATCACAACTTATTTATTTATTGTAAAGTCAATATTTTATTTATTTAGTCACTATTTATAGTCACTATTTATTTGATTTAGAAAGTCAATATTTATGCATTTATTTATTATTTGTAAAGTTGTTTATTTGTAAACAGTTAATTAAGTCACAATTTATTTAGTAATGTAACTTATTTATTTGTAAATCACAATTTATTTATTTGTAAAGTCAATATTCATTTATTTGTTTATTTATTTATAAAGTCACTATTTATAGTCACAATTTATTTATTTATTTATTTGTAAAGTCACTATTTTATTTATTTATGCCTATTTATAGTGTTTTGTTTTGAGTTTTTGTCCTTTTGGAGCTTAGCTGTATAAATGACTATCCACACGCCTTATGTGGAAAAGAGAAGCTTGTACATTCTACCAAACATCTGTTTTTGTGTTATATGAATAAAAGACAGTAAAATGTGACGTGAGAGTGAGTAAATAATGACAGAATGATCATTTTTGGGTGACCTATCCCGTTAACACTGATCCAGCTGTTTCATAGTGTTTTAGATCACTGTGTCTTCTGCACATTATGGGTTAAATAATATGGACCATTGGACAGTCCAGTAGTCTCAACTTAAACTCTTGATCTCCTGCTGGTCCTAATTTGGGCTTTGTACACAAAGCTGAGTGGCCACATGTGTTCTGCATCTGTCTAAAAGGCCCCAGAGTTCAAGGGATTCATTATTGTGACTAGTGCTGGGCGGTATACCGGTTCATACCGAATACCGGTGTTTATTTTTGTTATGATATGAGTTTTTTTAAATACCGCAATACGGTATGTCGCTTAAACAACGTTCGGAACATGACACTGTTTGAAAGGGGTCCCTTTTCACTGTTGCACTGTGGTGAGGGAACAGCTGTATGTGTTACTAAGTGTGAAAGTTCTGAAACTGAAGCTGTAGAACTAATAGAACGTGATGACAGAAGAACTCATCCACAATATCCACATTGACCGCCACAAATATCCACCGCCCCCTGCCATCAGCTCCCGCGTCTCAAACACACACGAGCACGACTTTAGCACTAGATTTAGCAAGTTTCAGACCCTTTTAGTGGCATTTTTCCATAGAATTTTCATACTGACAATCCTAGCGCCTTTTTTGGATAAACCTTAGCTATGGTTCAGTTGGAAGATTTCTCCAGTGCTGTCCCGCGAGCGCGAGGTCTGGCTTTCCCGGAGAAGTGTCGCCTCTCTCGGCGTCTGTTCTGTGTAGTGAGCGGCAGAGAAGCAGCGCATTCAGTTGGCCGCACCGCAGCCGACTCTTCAATAAATGAGTACAAAACAGCGTTTCCTAGCACCTGTCGCTTACTGATTGTTTGGAATTATAAATATGAGCGTAGTTCGTCTGTTAATATCACATGCACTTTTTTTTTAGTTGGTTACTCAGACGCAGGCAGTGCGCTGCATGAGACAAAAAAGTAATCCAGCCAAAACAACCGCATAGCCGCTCTTTAGTGTAGATGCATGTTGATTTTATCAGACGATGCCGCGATTATAAATGAGAGTGACTCCTGGTTAACATGTATTAAAAGGGGTCGTGTTTAGTCACTATTTAGTGTGGTATTTTTTGACAATATTCACTCATCATGACAGTAAAATAGGGCATTCTAAGTCAGTATACTGCAGTATTTCCTCTCTCAATCAGTAGAAAATATGGTTAACACCCGGTCATGCATGGGAAAAAAATACCATCATGTACCGTGAAACCGGTATAATTTTGAAAAATACCATGATATACATTTTTGGTCATACCGCCCAGCACTAATTGTGACACATTACAGAAGAAAACTAGGGAAACGCTCACAAATGCAGGTCACTGAACACATATAAAGGAGTGTGTGTGTGTTATGTGCATTCCAAAGCATTACAGGTTGATTATATAGAATATTTTTATAGCCATTCTGATGTATAATTACATTAGCAAGTCCGAAGACTTTCGATGGAGAACACATGATGCTGCTTTGAATATTAAGCAAAGTAATATCAAAATAATTTATAGCTTTTATTTTATATAACTGTATTAAAGGAGTGCATTAATAATCATGCATTTGGACATCTAAGCCAATTAAAAATGTCTGAATGTCACTGTTGAATTACTAGTGCAAGTGTCTGTTTATTAGTATTGTGACAGTTTATGAAGAAAAGTGAAAAGGGAAAAAAAATGCTCCCGTGGAATTTGACCATACGTTTTGTTTTGTTTTTAATCAAGATGCAATGACTTTCAGACATTTTTAGATGTGGTTTGGTGTCCAAATACTTTTTGCTTTACTTTGCATTTACATCCATTCAATCAAAAAAAAAAAAAAGAGTTGTAAAATGATACGGTCAATAAAATGTCATGCAGTGAATTGTACATATCAGGGTGAGACAAAATTCATATTTTAAGAATTGATCCCTTTTAGTTATTGAGAGTGAATCTGTTGAATTAGACACACTCTACACGGGACACAAACTGGAAATTCAACAGAGGAATTTCAACAGTTTTGCGTAAAACACAACTGATAATTTGACTTTTATGCCTATTTATTCCTTGATATGTAGAGTATAATTTAAGTTCATTTACAGTTATGCATTTGGTAGATACTTCTATCTAAATAGACTTGCACTGCGTTCAACGTATACATCTTATCAGGTTATGCTTTCCCTCGGAATCGAACCCACAATCTTAGCGTTGCTAGCGCCACACTCTACTGTTTGAGCTACAAGAAAGATCCTCATCAAAACGGTTTAATTTGCCAAGCAGTATCACCGAAATGTTACTGAAGTTAAATTATAGTGAAGTAGCATTAAATATCATTGGGAGGATACTTCCAGTCTTGTTTTCTGGTTTTAGACTTGTGTGTCTTTGCACGTGTATTTGTATCATTGTTGTGCTCTGCATTGGAAACAAAGAGTAGTCCATAAAAGGGGGCGAATGTCAATATGATTGATGACTGACCTTTTGACCTCATAATAAGATCCAGATGTGACCTCTGACCTCACAATAATATCCAGATGTGACCTCTGACCTCAATAATATCCAGATGGGGGTATCAGCATATGTGTAATTCTGACGTCGACCTGTGACCTCCGGGAGAGAAATATGATGTTTGTACAATTCCTACCGGTGACAAGCCATAAATGAAGTCCTGAGGAATGTTTTTGAACTTTTAATGCATGTTTCAAAACATGCGCGCACACACACACCTAAATGGGGACACTACACAGACTCCTATTGTTTTTTTTTTTAATCTACAGATAATTATATTGACATTTGCCCACTTATATGGACCTACTGCAAAGGTTTTTAGCACATTCCGAAAATATTAAAGGATAAAAATATGGTTCCAAAAGCAGTGATTCCTTAGAAGAACAATTTTTTTTGTTCCCCAAAGAACCTTTCCGTGAACCGTTCTTCAAAGAACCATTTATATATTTTTTTTATTAGTGTGGGAAACAATCTAAAGAACCTTTTTCCACTATTAAAGAACCTCCCAGCTTTCTATGGATATTAAAGTTTCTTCATGGAAACATTAGATGCCCATAAAGAACCTTTATTTCTAAAAGTGTATTATACTTTTTTTTTTTTATAAATATAAAAAATATATATTTTTATACTATAAGGTCCACATATAATGTTAGTTGGGTCATATCATAGTATTTCATAACTACTTTTCCACCCCCTCTCTCTGATCCTTTGAAATAAAGTAGGCATCATTGATGTGTAAATGGGGGCTGTCATGTGTAGATACACATGCAGTCCATACAGTTTTCCATTGTACACCGAGCTCCTTTATCTCAAAAGATCAACGAAAATTAAATCCTCATGATGTCACCCTTGAGTCACAGTAGCACATGCTTCAAATCATTTGAAATTGCCGTAGCACTGAGCCATACTGCTCTCTAACTGACTAAATGATTGCATGAAAACAACTGTGTTTGGTAGGGCACTTTACTTAAACATGACTACAAGCATCTTTCCTGAATGTTTCCATGACTCTGATGAGCTTCAGTTTAAGTGTTGCATGACTAACACACTCTGCCAAGCCTTAACAAGTAACCGCAAAACACCAGAGCTGCTAACGGTGAGTGACCTGCTCCTTCAATATATTCATCTTGCAGTCAATAATAAAACAAATTGCTTAATTTACTCGCCCCCAAGCTGTCCAAGAAGTAAATGAGTTTGTTTCTTCATCAGAACAGGCTTGGAGAAATGTAGCATTACATCACTTGCTCACCAATGGATCCTCTGCAGTGAATGGGTGCCGTCAGAATGAGAGTCCAAACGGCTGATAAAAAGTCGTCTCATCTGAATGAAGAGAGAAACATTCACAAATCAAGCACCATTTACAAGCAAAGAGTTCAGTGTTGTTATGGATTATGGGCTGATATTTTGGCCAGAAGCGTCAGTTTAAAGTTAAAATGCCTTATTGATGGATTTGTTTCTTACACACACACACAGCTTTTCGCTTCACAGGACAAGTTGTGTGGATCACTTGCGTATTATTGTGATGTTTTTATCAGCTGTTTGGACTCCCATTCTGACGGCACCCATTCACTGCAGAGCATCCACTGGTGAGCAAGTGATGTAATGCTACATTTCTCCAAATCCGTTTTAAAACACGATTTATTTGCTTCTGTACATTTAAATTATAACGCATATCTATAAAGGCCGTTTTCTCCTGCAATGAATCAGAAATGTCCACTTCAGCAGCACTTAAACCGGACATTACAGTTGTATTCCTGTCTATATTCTGAAGGTTTTTACAGATGGATTTGTTCATATATCATTCACTTGATTATATATTCAACATTTTATTCTTGTTTTTGACAGTATTTTCTGATTTATATATATATATATATAGAATATAGAAACATAGAATTTCAGAAAACTTATACAAAACAATTGTCTTATGTAGTGTGATTAATTAACTGGTGAAAGTAAAGTGTAATGTGAAAGTAATTTTTTTTAACCTTATTTACCTGCAGTGTCTTCCTTTTTAATTTAGGGTTGCTAATGAGATAACGGTTTAATTTAGTCTGTGTACGGTTAATGTTTCTCTGGGGGTTTGCTGCAGTGAATTCATGCATCTGTGTTTGTGTGTAGAGGGACTGTGTGTTCCTGGAGACGTTCAGGTGAATTGTTTGAGGCTGTGGCTTTATGATACTGAATAATCTCATTTTTATTTTTCAGAGATGCTGAGTAAGCAGAAGTCGGAGCATGTGGGGGGGAAAAATGCTCCCTATATAATGAACCAATTGAGGACCTTCGAGGAGTGACTTCTTTGTGCTTTTATTCTTTTTTTTCTTCTTTGTTTTCGGCTTGTTGAATACCCTCTTAAAGCAAAATGCCAAAGAACATAAGATTATCTTTTTTTTTTTTTTTACACTTAGGTACAACTATATACAACGTATGGCCCTTTAAAACCTATTAAAAGCATATTAAAACACTGATGTTATAGTTTACATACAGTTCATTTAGTGTACGATTCGGAAACTCTTTTGCAAAGGAAAGGGAGGGAACTTCTTTCTTAGATTTGAATAAGGAATTCAGAAATGGGGATTTCTCATGATATGAAATAATCTTGTGCCTTTGTTGAGCGTCATGTGTTCTTGAGTCAGCCAATCAGCATTCAGTCTCACATTCTGCCCATCCTGCTCTTCTGAAATAGCATCGCACGCTCTTGTGGACTCGCACAGCTATGACCATCACAGGCTGATGGAAAAGTGCTTGCACTGCAGACTCAGACCATGTACATGATGAAATGTAGAAACCATGTGAATTTTTGTTGTTGTTATTGTTTTTGGATGTTATGTTAAAAAAATTGGTGAATCTCATCAAATATAAAGAGGGACATTTCATACCAGAATCAGAAGAGAATGGATGTGAAGTTATTATTTGCATAAAGATAGATAAATCCTATTTTTAGAACTATTATGATTTGTTTGCATTCTAAAAAAAAGGTAATATTTTACTGTAATATGGTGATACATTTAATTATTGGTAATACAACAAATGCTACCACGTGTACATGCTTTTTTCTGCACTATTGTAAAGAGAATATCATTTTGATTTTGCAGTGAAATGTGACTTTGATAGGGTTTTGTGAGATATCAATAAAGAGCTGAATTTGATGAATGGCCGTTGTGGCATTATTTCTTCTGATACACAATACTTAACACAAGGAAACGCCAAACAGAAATATAGTTTTCAACTTCATTTCCTTCAATGAAATGGGCACGAATGGAAAATTTGGTCATTTACGCATCATCTTGTCGTTCCAAACCTGTATGAGTTCATTTTTTTTAAATCTGCTAAATGCAAAAGAAGAGATGACTAGGGTGGTAGCCATAGTATTTTTAATACTACAGAAGTTAATGACTACCACCAACTGTTTGGTTGCCAACAATCTTCAAAATATCTTAATTTGTGTGAAAAGTCACACGGGTTTGGAACAAACTGAGGGTGAGTAAATGATAGAATTCTCATTTTTGGGTGAACTATCCCTTTAAGTACTTTTTTAACTGAACTGAAGCCTTTGTGTGATTTTTCTTTATGCCGTTGTGTTTGTGTTGTAGGGTACAGCAGGAGCAGCTGACTGCAATCTTCAGACTGCTCCGAGAGAATCAGGACACGTTTGGAGAGATGACGGAGGGAGAAGTGGAGGAACAGCTCAAACTTTACTCGCTTTAGTCTGACCACACACAGTTTCATATAGGATAGAATATGGGCTTTTCACACTGCGCTTGACCCGAGTTAACATCTGTAGCACTGTTTAAATCGACTATACTGTACCTACTGTTATGCTTGGGGTCACAGACACTCCAGCTCTTTATAAAAGTAATTGTAAGATTGAGGGTTAAGCAGGGTTTAATGCTTGTAATTTGGAAAGAGGTTCACGTTCAACACTAAAATGTTAGTGTAAAAAGCTCAGCTTGATCTCTGCATGATCACTGTGTAAAACTCTTGTTGTATTATACACAGACTGTAGTGTCCTCATGAACATATCAGCTGAACTTTTTACTTTTTTTTTTTTTTTTTGGTGCGTGAATGGGAAATGTAAATAGTCTGCGTTAGTGTTCTTGCATTTCTTTTGGTGTTTATATGGATTAATGCTTCAGAATCTAATTCTAATCTACTATATAGAATTCAAATGGCATATTCAAAATAGTTTACTGCTGCATTTTCTATGTATCTTCGATTGTTATTACTCCTCTTGTTTGTTTCTATTTACTTGAAGAAAAAAATATATATTAAAATAGCATTTGAATTTCCTGTTACATTTTCTTCCGTTTTTGAAACAGAGTCTCACTTACACCGAAACGGGCCCAGACATACACTCTTAAAAATAAAGGTGCTTCACGATGCCATAGAAGAACCTTTTTGTCTAAATGGTTCCATAAAGAACTTTTAACACCTGAAGAACCTTTCTGTTTCACAAAAGGTTCTTTGTGGCGAAAGAAGGTTCTTCAGATTATAAAAAGGTAAGAAAGAGATGGTTCTTTAAAGAACCTTTGACTGAATGCTTCTTTGTGGAACCAAAAATGGTTCTTCTATGGCATCGCTTGAAGAACCGTTTGAAGCACCTTTATTTTTAAGAGTGTAGACCAGGTTAAATGTGGAATCAGGGGCGGATTTACCCATTAGGCAAAGGTAGTTTGCCTTGGGCCCCCAAAAGCCAAGGGCCCCCTAAAATGCTTTTCATATAGTATATGCGCATTAAGCGCTGACACGCGAACGGTTGCTGTTTACGGTGTTTATTACCACGACAACCGTCCGAGACTCCAAGTTGAACGTGCTTTTTGTGTACCCTGCTTGAGGGAGGTGAAAATATTATGCATCTGAAGCTGTAATTAAATACTGAGAAACGGTGTGTATTATAAGTTTATAATTGTTTTAAATGCCGCTTACTCATTTATGAGAAGGAACCAAGTATAGAGGACACAGTTACTTTTTTGGTTGATATAATGTGTGTAAATGTATAATTGCCTTTTCATTATTTTTTCAGTTTTATTTAAATTTGTAGTTAAAATAAATGTATTTTAAAGTTTAGAATTAGACCGCCTTTGCACACAGGCTTATGCTGGTAACTCATCAGTGGATTTTCCTCGTCAATATAGGCTATATATTTTTTTAACACTTTTCTCGTTCTATATTTCTGACGTTCCAAAAGCGCCTCCTACTGGCAGAGAATGAATGTTCATTTTCAATAATCCAGTCTGTAGTTTTTGTTCAGATCAATGCAAAAATCCACCCCCATAACCCCCGTTTTAAATGAATATCATAATTTATACTTCTGGCTCACCCCTGGTTTAAACGCTCAATTGTGAGGTTTATTATTTTATCATTTTTGATTTTGTGAGAACCTGAATCTCAACTGTAAATCAGCTGCTATTTCGTTGGTCCACAACATGAAAGAAAACCATTATAACATGTACATAAAAAATGTAGAAGCATTGGACACAACCATGGGGTGCAGCAACAAGCATCACAACAAAAAAAAGGAACCTCAAGGAAAATGTGTACAAATGTATAGGGCCCCATTCCTATATTTTGCCTGGGGCCCCCCAATTCATTAAATCCGCCCCTGTGTGGAATAGATGGGACATTTCAGGAGGCGATTATTGTCTGCCTTTTGTTTAATACAGTGTTGTGAAATTGTTCAAAAACGATGTGCTAAACTTTTACAATGTGAAAGAAGATGTGGGAAAACATCGGTAGGCTAAATGCAGACAATGGATTTGTGTGTGTGTGTGTGTGTGTGTGAGAGAAGCGAAAACTGCATTTGGTAAAGAAAGGTTTCACATTCAAACGAGGCAGTGAGAACCAAACACCTTAAACTTTAAAAGTCAGTGGTTCCAGAAAGGCATGCATTAAAAAACCCAAGACAAGTATTTCAACAAAGAAATGGCAAATGTTTCTGAAGTAATATATTGTTTCACACACGCGCACATCAGCTAGAGTTTAAAGACGGCGAAAGCATTTGAACATTAGTTTTGTGATTGGCTACATGCCATATTATAATGGCAAGATTATTTCCCCGACAGATATAAGTAGAAAGTGAAGGAAAATGTAGGTTGATTAATTATTAATGGCCACACGCCCCACTTCTCGCGTCACCCTGTACCGCCCAAACTGTTCGCGATGATTTAAACGTTTGTTGAGGGAACGCAACCCATTGTTACTATCACATAAAGCCGACTTGTCGTGCTACCACTACCTGTAAATTACCAGCACTAAAATGGCTGCCAAACTGTACGGTATGTATCATTTCTTCATAGATATTGTAAGAGTAGCATCTTCTGCCTCGGTCTGGAAAAAATATCGCAAGAATTGTGTTCTTGTCGTGCTAAACGGGGGTTTTCTGTTCGCAGTTGACGGTGAAGAAAACACAACTCCTGGTAAGTTATTCACACATTTTCTCATGGCTTTTGGAAAGTAGGCTTAACTCTCTTACTGTATGTGCGTTTTTTAAAAACTTTTACCCCCATAGACCATCCCCTTAAGATGAAAAATATAGGCGCACATTAAAAAGATAAAAGTAAAATGTAGATTTCAAAAAGTATGCAAGGTTTTTAAATATTTCTGCTTAAAACTGTAGGTCTGTTTATTGTGTTTATATACATGCACACAGTTTAACAGATTATTGTGTTGATACATAACTCTAGAGACTATATCAAATCTGTGTATATACAGTGTTAAATAATGTTGTTAGACTTTCCATCCTGTGAAGGAGCATCCCAAGAAGCCACAAAAGTTTACGTTGAATTAAATGCCAGAGACACTTTGTGTAACCAAAATACCAATATTAACCAGAACCAGAACACATTTTTTTATAGCTTATTTTGAATTGTCAATGCTCTACTCTTTCTGGCTGGTCATTCAAACAGATAAGTGGGATAGAATATGCACTCTTACAACCATCTACATTATATTACAGTGCAAACACCATAAAGTAAACAATGTCATGATTGCTTGGCATAGATGTGCGGTATTTGTTGATTGCAAACTGCTCTGAAACCACAAGCCCGGGTTTTGACCGTGAAATGTTTAATTATTTAACTAAATAAACGCCTTTTATTAATAACATTTGAGGTATAGGGGCCCAAAGCGATGTCTGACCGACCGGCCCCCCTTTCGACTGATCTGTTCAAATGTTCTCATTACATGTTACAATGATCTTGTTGTGAAACAATGGTTATGTGGAAAGGATTTATGTAAACTGAAATGAAAGCTTGAGATCTGGGGTTTTAAGAATGACTAGCAGTTGTATCTACCAAAGAGTTACAAATAAAACAAAATTACGGCTTATTTCTGCATTTACAGCAAAATTATCTCCCCCCATTCACTGCATGGTTTCGTCCCATCCTATGTAGCCTAGAGTCACTGAGTGAGGTCAGATGGTAAACTGTCAAATTAGAGATGTCTTCGAGTTCGGGGGGGCAAACCGAGCCGGACGATTTGGTCAGTTGGACTTTTAAACACATTTTAGTTTTGCTATAGAAAATCTACAAATTCACACTCTGATTACATAGAGCAGCAGCAGGAAGCACGTGGGGTTGTAATGGTAACTGGATACACTGCACGCGAATTACGGCTGCGCTTCTATTTTGCCACACTAAACTTAGCAATAAACGCGTTGAAAATAATACACAATAAACATGTCTGTCAAAACGAACTCAAAGGAGGCTTTTATTAAGCAAATCAATGAGTGAATTACTCATCCACTGTTTAAAAAATACTTTAGCTGGGTTTCCACAGGCAGGGTCACAATTATCTACAGTGTATGAAGCTAAAGGTTTTTGGGTTAAGGTTCATAATGTAGAACATTTTTAACATTGTATGCTGTATGTGCATAGGTAGCTAGCAAACAAGGAAT